GATATAAGAAAGGCGTTAAATGGGATTATCTATTCAGCGAGCACTAGCGGCAAACTGGGCTGCTGATCTGGGATGGGCAGCTAACTCCTATCGGAAGTCGCACAGCGTACAACTGATAGACAGAGATCAGTAACAATCTGTTTCACTGATCAGATAGGACACTGGTTTGACAGGTCAGTGAAGTGGGGTCGCAACTCCGGGGGGGGGGGCGATCTAAGAGGGTTAGACAGGATATGATATGGGCTGGTAATGTAGCAGGACAATCTGGCGCACTATCTGGGAGAGGCGTCGCTAACACTATTCGGAAGGTCGCCAGCGACACCTGATACAGTGCATCAAGTAAACATCGGTTCATCTGATCATTGACACAGGTGACATGGCGCAGTGAAGGGGTTTAAACTGGAGGGGGGGGAGATTAAGTGGTTGTTTAAATGGGAATTACTGGTTATGTACTGGCGGGCAATCTGGCGCTATCAGGGAGTGGCGCTAACCCCAATCATAGAGTAGTCGCCAGCTCGACACTGATACAGTGATCGCGCGGTTAACAAATTGGTTCCACTTGAAACCAGTTTTGACACTAGTAGTACAGTCAGGGAAGAAGAGGGGTTAGTAACCTTGGTGGGAGCGATAAAGGGGTTTTTAAACGGGATTATACTGGTGTACTAGCTTGCGTGGCAATCTGGCTGCTATCTGGGAGGGGCCTGGGCCTAACAACTATCAGAAGTCGCCAGCGACACATGATACATGTGATCAGTAGTAAACTCGGATCACTGATCAGTGACACTGTGGTGACAGGCGCAGTGAAGGGGAGTTAACTCAACTGTGGGGGTAGAATTAGGGAGTTAAAATGTGGAATTACTGGTGTTACTGGGCGGGCAAACTGGCGCTCATCTGGGAGGGGCGCCATTACACTATCGGACAGGTCGCCAGACGACACTGATATCAGTGATGCGAGTAAAAATTGGTTCTCTGATCCAAGTGACACCTCGGTGACAGTGCAGTGCAAAGGGGTTAACTGGGGGGTGTGTCATCAAGGGGTTTAAAACCGGTATTACTGGGTTGTACTGGTCGGGCTTCAAAACTGGGCGCTATCTGGGGGAGGGCCACTAACTCTATCGGACAGTCGCCAGCGACACTGATCAGTAAAATATCGCATTCACTGCTCAGATGAGACACATGGTGACAGGGGTCATGATGAAGGGGTTAACTGGGGGGGGGCGATCTTGGGGGTTTTAATGTGTCCTTAGGTGTGTTCCCTAACAGTAGTGTAGTATGGCTTGTGGTACTCACTTTTACTTGTGTCCATCTTCTCTGTCTAAAACAGAATGTGTCCACGTGCAGCGTAGTAGGATATGACACCATCATATCCTAGCCCTAGTGTATATGTCAACGACAGGACAGGATAGGACAGGGACCGATTCAATTGTGATCTATCAGCCAGAATTCACCTAGCTCTGAAATCGTTAAATGAATGATCCCTCACATGGTATACAATCTGTGTCACTCTGGCGGTGCCGTTCGGGGGGCGGGGGCGGGGTTGCACGGCGCGCGCGCCTCCCTGGCCGGCGAAAAGTGACGTCGGAGTCGCGGAAACCCCCGTATTTAAAAAACGTGGTTTTGTCGCTCCACTGCCGCATGCTCACCCCCGCCCTGCAACCCCCCCACCGTTGATATACACTAGAGGCAGGGCGGCTAATGCGGTTTAACTATAATGATTATTTATGAAGCCATTTAAATTATCACATAGTAGTTTGGCATTGAATCATATTCACATACACACAGTCATATAACAAAGATTATGTCTGGCTAATAAACAGAAATCACTCAAATGGCCCAGATCAAAAGTTTAAAAACCCTGGAATCTTTGGCCTTGGTAACAGTGATACCCACTGGTGACACACACAAGGTTAAAATGGCAATAAAAGGTTAACTTTCCCACATCTTTGCTTTTTAAATTGCAATTTGTGTCTGTATCAATAGTCAAATGATCATAACGAAATCTTGCCTGCGCTCCAAGAGGACTCAGCGCGAGTGGCGAATTAGATGGAACCAGACCCAGGAAAGATCGACCAACCAATGCATGTAGAGTTGTGCAGGCTCCAAATAAGGGCTGGGGGAAAGCCCGACCAATACTGCAAAATTGAAACATAAACGAGAAGCGCACCAAACCTTGCGCCATTACCTCAGTTAACCAAAAGTTTATTACATTGTAAAAATAATACTCACAAACAGCAAATAAAAAAATCAGGCATATAGGTCCTCAAGAGGGGAAACCAGGAAAAGTAGAAAGCCCACGCGTGATCCAATCGTTGGTGGAAGATTGCACCAGTAACAACTTGTTAGGAGTGGACTTGCCAGAAGTAGTGGTGTGTACTCACCTGCCTTATGTGGGCATGCAGTAACAGGGCTGGCCAGCGGGAGATGCTCCCCCTGCAATCAGAGGGACTCAACCCCTGAAGTCAGCCACAAACACCTGAAAACATGCTTATGCAGGTGTATTTTAAGTGATGGCAACAGGACCTGCAGTCTTTGCCATGGTGAGGTGTGTGTTTTTCCTGGGCCCAAGTATCTTGGTAATCCTGCATTTTTTCCTAGTTCCTGTACCTGTGTTCCTGCTAGTACGTTTCCCCTTTGATAGCCAAAACTCTTGCCTGTTTCTGAAGTTACGCTGACACCTCTCCCTGCTCTGAACCCCGGCTCGTTTCCTTACTGACCAACCTTCTGCCTGACCCTCTCTGTTACCACACGCTGCCGCGCAAACCTGAGGAACCTGGGCTTGTGACCCCGACCAATCCACTCCGCTTAGCTCCCCCTGTCCCTACCTGCCGCCCGATTGTTATTGACACCGGTCCCCGCCTGACGACGCTTGCATTGTATGTGTTTTGTTATCTTATCTGTGGGTGGTTTGTTCTTTTTGGTTCGATTTGTTTCACTGTGTTATGTTTTATTATTGCACTGATTTTAATTGTTTGTTTTGTTAGTAGTTATTTAAATTTATTTATTTATTGTTATATCTGTAGTCTGCGTTTTTCCCTGTAGTGTTTTTTTTCATGTTTAGTGTATGTACCTTGTATTTCTTACCTGGAGCCATGACATTACACCAAGGCCATTCCATCGACCATGTGGTAGATTTTGCACAAGCTGTTATTTTTATATGTATTTTGATTTCTTTTTTCGGTGGGAAAGTGATGTGGTATTTTTATGAGGTTTATGATATTTTATAGACTGTTTAGTTTTTGATGGTTCTTTTCTTATGCTTATCCAGACTTGTTTTAGTATGTCCTGGGTTTTTGCTAGAATGTATAGGCACGCTCAATGTTCTAGTAGATCAGTGTGCACAGTTTCTCGTTGGCTTTTTTTTTTTTTTTTTGCATGCCTTTTTTTATTTTATTTAGTTTTTTTGTGTTCGGATTTTGGTTTTATCTTGTACCCACCTCACAGCGTTACCCCGAATGCAGGGATGAATTTTTGCTACTCATTTAGTGCCGTTTTTCAGGTCGAGTCCCTGTATGGTTATTTAGAGGATTATGATTTGTTTTACTTTTTCTGGAGCGCTATTTTGTGCAATGTTTCTCCACAGTTTTGCTTAGATTTTGTTATGAACGCAGTTGCAGTCTTTGGTGATAGACAGGCTTTATAGTTGTTAAGCTCAGCTTTGTTTAACCCATACTGCGTTTTTGTTACAGAAGTTGTTGCACCCATCAGTTTTTTTGCAAAAAACCCCAGTCCAATCCTGCTTCTAATTTTATTTCCTCAAAGCTAGAGATAATTCCCTCTGCATTCCCAACAGTTCCTCCATGCCACTGTTATCTTACGCGCATTTTCAGTACCCTGTTCCCATCTAGCTTTTTGTATCCTGCCTTTAACCCTGTAAATGTAGTCTCTCTGTATTACTGTTTTCAGTTTCTCCTTGTTCCATTCTTCCATTTTTTCTTCTGTCTCCATTCTGCTCCATTCGTTTGCAGGACCTTCGTTTACTTGCATTTGCTCCAGTAGTTAGAAGAAAACCAGATATTTTTTTTTTTTTTTTTTTTTTTTTTAAAATTTTTCCATTTTGGTTTACCATCCTGCACAGTTATTCCAAAACCGTTTCAGCCTGCCGTCTGATGTGAACCAGCCTTACCGTGGTTCGCCTGGTGCCTCGGCACCCGCACTTCAACCTGTATTGTTTTTGTACCCAGCCTGAATGTCTGTACCCATTTTGGCCTGTTCTATTTGGTTTCTGTACCCAGCCTGATGCCTCCATTCAGCCTGATGTTCTCCATTCAGCCGGAGTCTTCATTCCAGCCTGATGTTATATTGTGAATCAAGCCTGATGTACTTTTCCATTTTCAGCCTGATGCCTCCATTCAGCCTGATGCCTCCATTCAGCCTGATGCCTCTACCCGGCCTGATGCCTTACCTTCGGCCTGATTGCCTCTATTCAGCCTGATGCCTCTATTCAGCCTGATGCCTCTTATTCAGCCTGATGCCTCCATTCAGCCTGATGCCTCTACCCAGTTTGATGTTTCTACCCAGCTTGATGATTTGGTTATCCAGTTTTGATGATCCTATTTAGGCCAGTTGACTTTTGATTTTTTTATGCTCCGCTCGGTTTGATCCAGACGATCCATGGTACCTGATTTACCAGGTTTGCCCGCTGTCATACCTGGTTAAGATGACCGATGCCTGCTGTCGAGTGCCAGACGATCCAAGTTGCCTGATGACCCAGTGCCCGCTGTTCATGCCTGGTGACCCGATGCCCGCTTCGAGCCATAGAAGATTCAGCTGAGATTAGATGAACCCGGTGCCTGTTTGTCGAGCCAGACGATTTGGTACCTGATGACCCGGTTGCCCGTTTACGTGCCAATTTCTTTGAGCCCGCTGTCGTGCCTGGTGACTTTACTCCGTGATTTTATATGCCTTTGCCAGGTGTGACGCGGTTTTGGCGAGCCAAATGACCTTGATGTTGGTGACCCAGTGCCCGCTGTCATTTATTTTTTTGTTAGTGGTGCCCCGATGCCCGCTGTCGAGCCAGACAATCCAATGCTTTGATTGACCCAGTGCCCTGGCGGTCTATGCCTGGGTGATCCGATGCTCGCTATTTCGAGCCAGACGATCCAGCGGCCAGATGACCCGGTGCTTGCTGTCGAGCCAGGACGTATTGCTCGGTACCTGATGACCCGGTGCCCACTGTCGTGCCAATTGATCAGAAGCCCACTGTCGTGCCTGGTGAATTTTGTTGCCCACATGCCTTGCCAGATTGACGCGGTGCCCGCTGTCGAGCCAATTTGACCTGATTCCTGGTGACCAATTTGCCGCTGTCCAGCCAGACGATCCAATGTCTGACCCAGTGCCCGCGGTTTGTGCCAGTTGACTCGGAGATTTTTTTGTTTTGGTCGTTCCTGGTGACTTGGTGCCTGTCGCCTCCGTATTTGGGGGTCCGGCGCCCGCCGCTCCGCCTGGGGGCCGAGATATCTGTCGCTCCGTTTTTTATGGTATTTTTTTTCCGGCGCCCGCCGCTACCGCCTGGGGGCTGAGATTCGTTGATCCGCCTGGGGGTCCGGCACCCGCCGCTCCGCCTGGGAGCCCGAGACCTGTCGCTCCGCCTGGGGTCCGGCGCCGCCGCTCCGCCTGGGGGCCCGAGACCTGTCGATCCGCCTAGGGTTCCGGCGCCCGCCGCTTCCGTCCCTGGGGCCTGGAGATCTTGCTTCTCCGCCTGGGTTTCCGGCGCCCCCGCCGCTCCGCCATGGGGGCCCGAGGCCTTGTCGCCCCTGCCTGGGGGCCCCGATTGGCCTGTCGAGCCCCGTCTAGGGGCCCGAGCCTGTCGCCCCGCCTGGGGGCCCGATGCCTTTCGCCCCGCCTGGGAGTCCGCCCGCCGCTCCGCTGGGGGCCCGAGACCTGTCGTAATTCCGCCTCGGGGGTCCGGCGGCCGCCGGTCCGCCTGGGGGCCCGAGACCTCTTTGCTCCGCCTGGGGGTCCCGAGAAACCTGTCGCTCCGCCTCGGGGTCTTTTTTTTGTTGGTTTTTTTTTTTTTTTCCTTTTGGCGACCCGCCGGTCGCGCCCGTGGGGCCCGCCTAGGGGACCCAATGCCTTGCTCCGCCTGGGGGTCCCGGCGCCCGCCGCTACCGCCTGGGGGCCCGAGGCCTGTCGCCCCGCCTGGGGGCCTGAGGCCTGGCGCCCCGCCTAGGGGCCCGATGCCTGTCGCCCCGCCTGGGGGGCCCGTGCCTGTTCCGCCCCGCCTGGGGCCCGATTTGCCCCTGGTCGCCCCCGGAGCCTGGATGTGGGCCCGGTGCCTGCGATTGCTCCGCCTGGGTGGCCCGATTTTTTTTTGCTGCGGAATCCAGCACGCATGGTGGCTGGTTGGAGCCTGCTCTCGTCGCCATGTGTGATCCCGATGTGCCTCTGCCCGGAGTCCAGCCCGATGTGCCTCTGCCCGATGAGTTTATTTTCTTTGGAGTGTACTGTTACGATGTGCCTCTGCCCGGAGTCCTGCCCGATGTTGCCGCTGCCCGGAGTCCTGCCCGATGTGCGCTGCCCAGAGTCTTTGCCCGATGTGCCGCTGCCCGGAGTCTGCCCGATGTGCCGCTGCCCGATGTGCCGCTGCCTGAGCCCTGCCCGTCTTTGTGCCCGCTGTCCGGAGCCCTGCCCGATGATTAACAGTTTTTGCCCGGAGTCCTGCCCGATGTTTGCCGCTGCCGGAGTCCTGCCGATGTGCCGCTGGGCACCGGAGTCCTGTATTTGTGCCGCTGCAAGTAACCGAGAGGTCCTACATGCCCGAATGTGTTTTGCTGCCCGGAGTCTCAAATGCCCGATGTGCCGCTGGCCCGATGTGCCGCTGAACCTGCCCGGAGTCCTGCCCGATGTGCCGCTGCCCCGGGAGTCCTGCCCGATGTGCGCTGCCCGGAGTCGCTGCCCGATCCCGTGTATGCTTGTGTACCGTTCCCGCGGAGTCCTGCCCGGTGTGTCGCTGCCCGGATTACGTTTGCCTGTATGTGCCAGTCTTTGATATCCCACCAGTTACCAGACCCGTGGGCGGTGGAACATTTTGCCCAGCTATTCGACTGTTTGGAGCGTCCTGAGGCCCGCTCCTTTTTGATGGGGGGGGTACTGTTAGGAATGGACTTGCAGTAGTGGTTGGGACTCACCTGACCCTTTTTCCCGGGCTGCAGTACCCCCCAGGGCTGGCCCGGGGTGCTCCCTGCAATCAGTGACTCAACCCTGCAGTTAGCCAAACACTTGAAAAGTACTGTTATTCTGGTGTTTTTAAGTGATGGCCAGACCTGCAGTCTTGGCCTTGGTGTTGTGTTTTTCCTGTTTTTTTTTTTTTTTTCCCTGTATCTTGTAATCCTGCATTCGTTTTTTTTCTGTGTTCCTGAAGTACGTTTCCCCTTGTTGCCATGTATTTTTACCTCGATTGTTTAGGTGCTGACTGTTCATTTATGATTACGCTAGACCTCTTTGGTTTGTTTTTTCTGACCTTCTTTTTCATTTTATGTATGTTGTGACCATGACCTCTATATTGCAGATTGATTTTTGCCTCTGTAGTCCACCGCTGCCCGCTAGTTTGACCTGCAGATTATCGCATTTTATATTGACCCCGGCCCGATTGTTATTGACCCGGCCCGCCTGACGACGCTTGCATTGTATGTACTGTTATCTGTGGGTGGTTTGGTTTGGTTCGTTTGCACTGTGTTATGTTTTAGTATTGCACTGTGTTTATGTTTGTATTGTTAGTGTTAATAAATTATATTGTTTATAACATATCTGAAGTCTGCGTTTCCCTGCGTCAGTCACATACCTCTGGTCATACCCCGGAGCCCTGACAACAGCAGACCTCCTAGGACCATTCCCTTATATTGAGCCCTTGTTTCACTGGGTACTATGTGGGTATAGATATGGATATATATTGATGTAGGTAATAGAAAGGAACCCTATCATAATAGTATATATTCCATTTCGCATTTTAATATAAACAGTTATCATATATATTGATATATACTAATTTATTACATCTATTACATTTATTATAGGTTTTTGGTAGAGACACATGCCTGTTATTATTATTATATTATATTTTATAATATCTATTATTCATTTTATACACACACACATATATATATATATATATATATATATATTTTACTATATTCGTATTATATTCGTATTTTTATTTTTTATTCAATTTATTTTTATACATATCCTTCAAAGATATATACATATCTTCGTACTTTCATACCCCTTTCATATTCCTTTGATATTAATATTATAGTCTGCATTCTTGGGATTGAATGATGTCCTCTATGCTTGGTTACATCACTTTTATATTTAATATATTTTATTATTTATATATATTTTTTATTATTATTGCTGGTACTATATATCTATATATACTTGTTATACATTTTTTATGTGTACATATATGTATGCATATATGTAAGCACATGTATATGTATGCATATATGTATTTATGCGTATGTGTGTATATGTATTTGTGTTCACTGGCTACAGCACTGTTATATCCATCCAGGGCAATATTATGTTTACACCTTCCAGTATTTTACTTTCTATCACTCTCCCTTTATTCAAGCCAGTGACCCTTAAGACTGCCCTATGAGAGTAGACATTATGGAGGATGGACAGCTGGTGGGTTAGAGGGAAGTCCCGGGAAATTCCCAGAGTATTCCCTCATTAAGAGTCTCGTCAGTGGGTGACTGAGGAGGGGAGAGGGGTGGAGCCTGTTCATGGTGGCACGGGAGAGGGTGTAGTAGGCACTCTCTGTTAGCCTCCCCTCGTTTATCCTCCCTATGAGGCCTCGACAGAATGACCAGCAGCATTGAATGAGTGCAGGGACCCACCTGCAGGAGAGGGTTCGCGGAGTCCCGGGGACAGTCGAATCCAGGAGAGTGTCAAGAGAGAGCCGGGAGAGGGACACCTCGGGGTTTTTCCCCCGACGCCCTGCGGCGGCTACTGAGGAGGAGTGGGGTTGCCAGGGAGACGGTCGGGCAGCCTGGAGCCAGGAGAGAGCCGGGAGAAGGACGCCTCGTGGTTTCCTCTGGCGTCTCGCGGCGGCTTTGGAGGAGGAGCAGGGTTGCCAGGGAGACGCCAGTGAGACGGTCAAGGCATTGGAGCGGCACCGACACGTGGGAAGCCGCGGAGGAGCTCTGGGAGCTCTGTGTATGAGAGAGATTGCCCGGCATCTGAGCAAGTGGGTGAAGTGGTTGAGAGCAAAGGACATACTGCCCCCACAATATACACAACTTCTAAATCTGCACAACATCTCCCTGTCTCCTCTACCTAACCTACCTCCACACCATCTCCATATCATCTCCATACCATTCTCAACCTTACAACTTTACAGTTTTACAATTTTATATCTCCACTCTCATAATACGGCTAAACATCATACCTCCCACACTACTCCTTTCTCTATTCAACTATTAACCTGCATATCAACTCCAATTTATGGGGACTTGTGATGGGAAGATAAGCTACATGAGCTACGTGAGACCCCTAGGAATCCCTTCAAGAGGCTACAAGGGGATATAAATACAGAGGAGGACTGCTTCTGGAGTGAGGTTCCAACGCGGTGGGTGAGTGATGACCGTGGGTTTTTCCTACAGGTCCCCTTTTACATGCCATATACATTGGATTCGTATATTAGACTTTTATATATATTGAGTTCCTGCACTAGATTCCTAGTGTGCCAGAATAAGACAGTGCCTTAAATACTCAACCTGAAAATAAAAGAATTAGGGATTCCTAGGATAGGTCTGAAGATCGGGAGGAGTAAGAGAACAGGAGTTTCATGAAATAAGAGTAAAAATTTCAACAACAACATGAAAGGTAAAAATATCAAAGGGAGCGGGGCCTAAGAACACCCAAACTGGTACGATTAAGAAGTATGTGTCACAAGGAAATGTTACCCCAGAAAGAACTCAGGGAATAAGTGAAAAAAGTGAATTGGAAATAAGTTTGGATAATAGCCCGAGACTTTCCCTGGGCCCAGTATATAATAATCAAATGGAAGGTATTGAACCGAGAGAGTTGGAAAGAGATATGCAAATACCTAACAAAAAAGAAATGGCGGAGATGTTTAAAGGATTGGAAAATTCAATAAAGCAAGAGATGGGGATAATCCGGGAAGATCTGGGACAATTGTTAACTAGGGTGGAGGAAATGGAGGAGAAGGTACAAGCCCAAGCTCAGACCATCCCAAAATTAGAGAAATGGATAATTGAAGATAGAAAAGAACATAAGAGATTGCTTTTATAGGATGGAAGAACAAGAAAATAGAGAAAGGAGAAATAGTATCAGAGTAAGAGGAGTTCCGGAACTGACACAGGGGGAAGATCTAAAAGAGCTATCTGGTAAAATCTTGAACTTCATAATGGATAAATCGGATGAGGAGATGTTTAAACTGGATGAAGTATACAGGATTGGGAAGTATCAACAAGGAAAAGGGGTAGAAAAACCAAGAGATATAATTGTTAAATTTCATAACTATGGAGATAGAGAAGAGATATGGAAAAAGATTAAAGGAAGAACAAATATCACATATGGAGGGAAAAATATCCAAATTTTTGCAGATTTGACAGAGACTCTGAGAAGGAAGAGATCACTGAAACCCCTATTAGAAGAGATGAAAAAACAAAGTGTGAAATACAGATGGGGCCGTGACTTAAGTTTAATTGGGTGGAGGGATGGAACTACAGCTACCTTAAGATTCCCGGAGGATATGGAAGAATTTTGTGACAAATTTGGACTGCAGAGACAAGTGATACCTGGTTGGGAAGTGGAGGAGGGAGAGTTGGACACTTGTGGGTCAGGAAAGTGGCAGCTGGTTAAAAGAGGAAATAGAGAATCAATAGATAAGGGGACATTGGGGAGGAGGGGGGGGGGGGGAGGTAAGCGGTCATGGGCAGAGTCGAACCCCTATAGAGGGATCAAAA